TCGCAGCGTGGGAAGCCGGGCAAGAACTGACTGACGTCCGGGAGATCCTGCCTATAGGATCCGAGCCCTCAGCGGAGCCCTGCTTGTCTCCTGGCTTTAAATCCAGCTGGCGAGTGCAGGTGCTGAAAGCCGGGAGAGACTGGCGATGCAACGTCACAGCAACTACCGAAAGTTCGTGCTTTTTGTGGTTCCCTTGTTTCGGACTCGGTTCTGCTCGGCAGATCTCTAGCTGGGAATTTAACAAGCCTCGGTTTTGAAAATGCTTCCCACTTACTGGTCTCTGAATTTGATAAATGGCCTTGCAGAGCTGAGGAATACCTAACAGCAAGACAAGTCAATGAGGAAAAGGCAAGTTTGCGGATTCAAACTATGCTAGAAGATGTTCTCCTTTCCCCTTATGGAGACAGCACTGTTAAGAAAGCTGCAGATGCATTTTGGTTTGTTTATTGTCAAGAAGTGTTACAAAGTGATATGACTTTTAAACTCTTATGACTGTTTAAAGCCATCAAGCACCAGCAAAATTAAAGCAAGAAATTTGTCTGAGGATTTTCAAAGAATAAAGCTGTCTTCTGAGAAGAGCAGAGTAGGAAATGGCATCTGGAGAGTGCCTTCTGCTAGACCTAGAAACAGATAACTTAATTCTCTACAACATCTCTGTCAACCAGAGTGCAAACGTCTCCCTCCTTGGTGATGACTGGTTCTACCCAGGGTTCCTCTACGCCATCCCCACCATCTACGGGATCATAATTTTGATAGGCCTGATTGGCAATATCACGTTGATTAAGATCTTCTGTACTGTGAAATCCATGAGAAACGTCCCCAATTTGTTCATCTCCAGTTTGGCTCTGGGAGACCTGCTGCTTCTGGTGACTTGTGTGCCTGTGGATGCCAGCAGGTACCTTGCTGACGAGTGGCTCTTTGGCAGAACTGGATGCAAACTTATCCCCTTCATACAGCTCACTTCTGTAGGGGTGTCAGTCTTTACTCTCACTGCTCTCTCAGCTGACAGGTAAGCTGGTTGCTGTAGCCTTGAAAAGAAGCCTGCATAATTGCGACTGCATAAAATGCACGATAATGAATGCATCTTTTCTGGTAACAAGCATATTTTTAACCTAATGAGGGCAAAAGAACAACTTCAGTTAATTTCTGGTGGTTATGAGCACAAAACTTGAGGAGAAGGCAGACTGAATGCAGGATACTTTTTCTAGTGCTAAACCAAATGTTTGTGCAGTTTAGTGAACAGTCTAGCTTAATTAAAAGGAAAACAAGAGCAGATCAAGCTAAAGACCACAGAGAGAAAATACCATTAACAAAGGAAGCTCTATTAAAAGGTAGCATGTTCGTATTTGTCAAAAAGATAATTGATCCATATTTCATGAAGTGTGAAGGCACTGGAGCAGCAATTTAAAGTACCATTAGAATAAATTCTTTCTAGCGGCTTGCTTCCTTAAGGCTAAATACACGTGAGGCAATATTTCATTAAACATGTTTGAAATATTCAAATGAGGATGCCTGAAACCAGGCACCTCAATTCACTGTAGACAGTGTATTTCCCTTGATTAAACGGCTTGCCCCTTATCCAATCAAAACTGATCAGTGCTGTTGGTTTGGAAACTTTGTCTTCCAATAATGTTTGGTAAACATAACATGTAATAGCTATGCTATTTTACAATATGTGAAAACAAGTTTGACTTTAACAAATGATATGCTTCTAATAATCCAGCTCTATTTTAGATTTCTGAGGCTTTGTAAGACTGTCTCAGAGCATTCAGATTTAAATTCAAAAAACATTTGAGTTTTAATGTTATTTGGAAGGATGGAGTCTACCTTTCTAGAAAGGTTTTAAGTATTTATTAGGCTGTTGGCTTTTACAGAAACTCCTAAGTACACCAGAGAAGCCAGGATATTATGTTTCTAATTTGGAGAAAGAGAAAGGAATAGAAAGAGATTAAGGAATACATTGTCACCATGCCAAAGTTATAAAATCTTACAGAAGTACTAAGATTCCTGATGAGAAAAATTTTTCCGGTTTTGTTTTGCTCAAAAAAGACCTGAGGATTGTATTTCTTGGTCACAAAGAAGTGAAACTAAGTTTGCTCTAGGTAGCCCCTTTAGTGCCACTCTCTATCTTTCTTCCTAACCTCCTATTTTAAAACATCAGACTATTTTTGTTCAGTTTTCAATGTGGTTCATACACATATTTCAATATACAGTATGTGGTCTCCATGAGAGCAGATGACTCCATAGTGTTTCAAGGACAACATTGTCAACATGTTTATTAACTCCTCCATATCGGTGTACATATAAAAATAGCACTGTCTGCCCCAGTAGCAGATGACAAACACGCCTATGTGTAGACAAAACTCTTCAAGCAATTTGCTCTAAAAGTGTTGGGAAAATAGGAAAAGTGCACAAATTGTCTAGTAGCCTGCTCTGAAGAAAATGTTAGGAAAATAATATGCATTTCTGCAGGAAACTCATATTTCCAAAGCTGTAATGTAAGTTATTTTAAGGAGTGTCAGGAAAAAAAAAATGCATCATAAAGAAGATTATGTTAGAGAGATTTGTTGTTTTCTGATCACGTGCCACATAAAGTAAACAGTGCAAATGCTTTTACTGAGCAGCACATCAATGGTGGTTTTTTTGCTCGAAGTGAGCGAACAGAACAGAAAACAGCAGCTGTGGCAAGCTTGGGGTTCTATCACTTTATATTCTCAACTTCATCTTTATCTGGATCCTGTTAACCATCATGCTGCACTGGTGATCAGATGTTACCAGATGTTTCAATGACACTTGGCTATAGGGGAGACAGGGATGCCTGTGGGAGAAGACTTTATGTTCCCATTTCTAAGGGATTGTTTTACCCTCTTCTGATGCAACTTTTGTCCACTGCAGGAGATAGTAATGAAACTTTTACTTTTATTAGATCTATGACTCTTAAATGCTGTGTATTGAACCACAAATGGGACTTATCTATTATGTTTGATGAAGTTTCTGGTTTGGTATGCTAACAGCAGAACTGGGATAATTTTGTTGCAAAATAATACAATCTCTATTTTGTCAGCTCACGGCTCACTAATAGTCTATCTTTATTTTCTTAAAACTCTCACCCTGAGCTCTAGGGCCCAGTATTAATTATGTTAGACTCATTAGGAAAATAAACTTTAAATGTATAGGGAAAATTTCCAGGACACAAGTTGACTGTGACCAACATAGAAATGCCTGCTTGGGTCTGTGAAGGGACTGGCAGCTCAATACCCTGCTGTGACTGCTGGGGCAGGGAGATGCTGAGCCTGGCACATGGGCTGGTTTCATAGACAACCATGTCTGAGGTCAGACATTGCATGAAGGATGAGTGTCAGCTCATCCCTGCAGGGAAACATCTGCAGAAGACAGGGGCATGGCAGTGAGACCAGGGTAACATGAGGACTCAGGAGTCTGGCAGGTAATGCTGCTCAGGCACAGCTCATTTCACTTGGTTTTTGCTGTCTGAGGTGAGGAGCCACTCCAGGATAGGCAGCAAGATGTCCCCTAGTCCATGGAGAGGTACGCTTCCAGAAAAGGATAAACCACCATGTCAGGATACCTTTCTCCTTTGGATATAGAGGAAACCTTGCTGTTTAGCATGGGTTAGATGCCCATATTTGAGATGGATAATGTTCAGTGATGTGAATCCTACCTAAGATGCTCACGTGAGGCGTGGGAATGTTCCTGTTCTCATGAATCAGAGCCATGGACCATGGGAGAGAAAAACTTCCTAAACTATCTGCTGTGAATAGTATCACATGCCACTGCCCCCAAGGAAAGGGAGACTAGTCAGTGCACCACAGGCCTTTTGTTTATAGTTAATCTTCTGCAAAAAAATAATAATAAACCCCCTCAGTTACAGTGTCCTTCCACTGACAAAAACAAGTGGGAACAACTGCTGGCATTACTGAAGGTATGGTGGTGATGCCTAGAGAGACCTGGCATGTCTGGGATCAGAAATCTGCTGTGTAAGGAAAATTATTGGAGTGTGATATAACAGCATCATTTCCAAAGAGGTGACCATCAAAACACAAGATGGAAGGCAGTGAATAGGTGTGGTGGGCAGATACAGTATGTGAGAGAGCAGTGAAACATGTATGCTGTATGTTACGACAATGGAACAAATCATCTTTGTTGCTTTGGATCACCTCCTGAATATGAGGACCCCAAGTTTAATAGATTTTTGCACAGCCCTCATCATGGGGGCAAGGGTGTAACTTCCTGAGGTACAATTTATTCGTCCCATTTCCACTTTCCCGTGTGTTACAGTTAATAACACCAGATCTATCATCTGGTGACTGCAAACGCTCAGCAAAGTGCCAGCATCCACCACAGAGCACATAAAGCTGCTCCATGGTTTGACTCACTGAGAGCTAGTGGTCATCCAGAGGACTGACTGCTCACTTGCAAACTTTTCTCAAGGAGAAACAGAGGGACAAATGGCTGATCTCAGCTTTTACTGTGGCTGGAGCCTCCCAGTCTGCAATGTGGTCTGCATGGGTATAGAATCACAGAATCATAGAATGCTTTGGGTTGAGGGACCTCTAAAGACCACCTAGTTCCAACGCCCCTGCCATGAGCAGGGACACCTTCCACTAGCCCAGGTTGCTCAAAGCCTCATCCAGCCTGGCCTTGAACACCTCCAGGGATGGGGCATCCACAGCTTCCCTGGGCAACCTGTTCCCGTGTCAATATGCACACACACGAGCACATCTGCACAGGTTTGGTTAGGTAGGGCATAGTCAAAGGGTCTCCAGGTGTCTAGGCTGGTGTGTACAATCATGAAATTGCATCAGGTGAAGGCTAAATTATTTGAGAGAGTGTAGGAGAAAGGGCAAAGAGAAGAGTTAATAATGTTAGAAATTCATTTTCTGTGGGACTACTCTGCTGGCTGCAGGGAGCTGGCATCTGTGTAGCTACATTTGCAGTAGCAGTGGGAGCTGTTGGTGAGACCTGTTTTGCTGCAAGCTTGGCAAATTTGCAGACCAGCCAGGAGAGGGTTAAGATCTGTGGTGTGCTTACAGTCACCCTCCATGAGCAATAAAGCAGCAGGGCTCTGAGTATACAAGAGCAAGGAAACAAGCAGTCAATGCCTGTGTATGTGTGTTTGTATGTTTTAGAAGGATCCTAAATGAGGTTGGCAGGGGAAGGACATCTGTCAGTGCTGCTGCTCTGCTCTGTCACAGCTGCAGATTTCTTTCCAGCTCATTCCAGCTAAGAGAGAGTTTGGCTTCACCTTCTGTCCTACCCTCCTCTTCCTCTGTGCAAGGGGACTGGGTATAGAGGCACCTGTGACAGTAGTGACACTTGGGCCACAAGCCCTGGCAGAAAAGCCAAGGCTGGCTCAGCAAGTGACAGGAAGATCTTTGCACAATAAAAGGAAAAGCAACCCATTTAATTGCCCTTGTCATGGGAGATGTCTTTATTTAATTGAGGGCTTCTCCCATGACTGACAGGGTTTATGTATTTGCATTTGAATTACCCAGTCTGTCAAGCACTGATCATAATTCCCCACTGTTTTGCTGACGTTGTAAAAAATTGAAATGCCCTGGTATTCATGCAGTAAAATCTTCCTGAAGTAATGCTGTTTTTACAAGCACACAGCAGAGTAAGTGTAAAGTGTAACTGGAGTTTACAAGCAACATCTCTACTTCAAGGATTATCTGAATTTTAATGCTGGAAAACTGCAGCAATGCCTGTCTGCTGGCCTGTGGTGGAAGGGAGTGAGGCTGCAGTGAGACACATGGGGTGACATTATGTGTGAGGTTAGGTGGCTTACCTTGGTAAGACCAGCTGCAGACAGCAAGAATTGTGGTTGTGTGGGAGACCTGAAATGAGAAAATCAGCTTTGGAAGCGTTGACCTCGGTGCTCAGATGCAGGGATGGATGCAGGGATGCTGCAGTGTTTCCAGCTGCGCTGGGTTCCTTGGAGTAGGTCAGAGCCACAGCTCTTAATGTTCCTCTGTACTCATATGACAGTTT